AAAAATAGTTATTTGAGTGTTCTTTCTTTTATAGCACTTCAAAGCTTTAATTAGGGCCAGGGCTCATTTTAAACGTGGATAAAGAACTAAATTTCTCATGATTTACAGTTTCCAAGTAGGAGCTTAAGGAGAAAGATAGCCACATAAATGAGAATCAGTGTGTGTATATATATATTTCATAATCTTTGCTACTTTCTGATAAAGCATGGTATAAACAGTTCCTGAGAGGAATTTTTCTTCATTGTCATCTCCTACTAACTTCATTTCCCTTTTTGTGTCTACCCTGTCATAAATAATTGATCCAACTTAAAATCAAATGGTCAAGTTTGTTCCTGGTATTTCACCATTGCAAAAGTATGCTTTGCAAAGCATGATTAAGCTCTGGACAGTCCATCTTCTGGCTGGTGGAACTGAAGGCATCAGGAGTAACTAAGGGTTCTGTGACCTGTATAAATCCTAAAATGTCTCCAATATATAACGTTATCTATGTGCATTTAGACACTTAATATATTTCCATCCATACTTTAGCATGAAGAGGCTGGACTTACACTGTAACTTTTAGCCTTGAATTTTTATAAAGGAAAAACAGCAGTCAAAACTGGAAGACCTAATTAAACTGGAATTTTTGTTAAAATGAATCTGCTCTTTTCTGGGAATCAGTAAATTACACAGGTACATTATTATATCTATGATATCTGCAACATATTTGTGGTATGAAAGCCCTGTCAGGTGGTAGCAGCATTAAGAAAGCTTGAGCATTTCCTTTCTTTCAAATGCTTTCTCAAAATGCACTTCTTTTGGGGCTCTTTTATGCATATGCAGTGTTAAATGAGGCAACTACACAACATTACTGTGTGTTTCTCCCTCTCTCTTGCCCAAATGTATCATTCTGCAAGTTTAGGCTTCGCTCCTGTAGTGAACTCTGTAGGACAGTGACACCATCTGCATCAACCACTGTTGTAGAATGGTGTAAATAAATAATACACTTTCTTAGTCTTCTGTTTCTTCATCTTTTTAGTAATATTCATTCATCCTTTCTTTTGTAGAAGTGTGTATGTGTTTTATGTATATTATTTTACCAGGGTGAGTCTGTGACCTTAAGTTTCAAATGTGGCAGGGAAGTTTAGGTGTTTTGTCTGTTCCTCACCCTTCTAAGGATACCTCTGACAAACCATCATTTTCATAGGGTAATGGTTCTTATTCGCCTTAGTGAGTGACATCAGTAATCCATACAATTCCCTGTTGCTATTCATATATGTAAGTGGCTTTTATGGGAATCTATTATTTTTCTTTCAAGGGGTTGTTGCTTGTATCAGTTTACCAATCCAGCTTTTGTATTTTCCCATCCTCTTTGGGTCTTAGAAGCCCAAACAAAAGATTCTATTAAAGCATACTGTTGCCAGTGTTGGCAGTTTAACCAGTACGTGTCATTAAGCACATAAGAACCTAGAAGACTGTCTTGGGCAGACTAACCAGTGGCATAAACCACCTTGTCCAAGCTGAAAGTGTCAAAGCTAAACAATGAACTGTTAGGATCATGGGAAGTGCATTTTCAAGCTTTGTCTGTCTAATAGACTGACAATGACTTTCAACCCAAGAGCATGGGTAAGCCTCTGAAAGCCTGCCAAAGGCAAGGGCACTTCATGTTCCCTGTCCACAGAATGCAGTGGCAAGTTATTGGACGGAACTGGGTCATCAGATTTTGAAAAGGAGGGGATTTTCTTTGAAAAGTGTGGGAATCTGTGGAGGTGGCAAGCATTGTGAAAGTCCACTTTTGATAAGATCATCGATTTTACTTTCCAAAACACCTATATAATCTTAAAATAGTAAAACCTCTGTACCCAACTGTTTAGCAAGGAAGAATAACTTTCAAAAGAAAGTATTCCATTTTGTCTCTTAAAGATGCAGGTAGCTTCCTCTTTTCCTTTTTGTCTTAAACCTTTCCCAATAAGATAGCATACATTATTTAGTTGTATCCTCATTTCTCGGGTCAGTCCAAGCTGTAGTCAGCATAAAAATCAGAGCAGGTAGAGTATTGGGAAAAATTCTAACATCTATGTAAAGGACAAGTATAGAAAGTATCTATGTATATAGTGTATTAGTAAAAATATATTTAGTATATCACTTTTCATCCTCCAGATTGTGATGCTGTTCTGAATCCAGCACAATGTAAGGCATTTTAAGGGCCATTTTAACCTGACTTGACACTGCTAAGGTTGTATTTAAGGAAGAAGAGTGTAATTACTGCCTTCCTTATGTAGTTGAGTTGTAGCAGCTTGTGCCTGTGTAAGTTCCTTTGGATCAAATTTGCATCTGTCTGGTAGTGCTGTTTATGCTTTTTGTGGAGGTTGCTCTGACCAGCTGGAAATGTTAGTGGACAAGTCTTATTCCAGCAAAGCATATCTGACCCCTTGTTTCCTCCAGTGCAGAGAAGTGATATAATTGGTGCAGTTCATACGGTGTCTAAGGACAGAGACATACTGGAGAAATCTGACATGATTAAATAATTGCATCATTTATTAAATATGTACCCCTTTTACTCTAAACCTGGGAAAATGCAAGCTGTTATGCTTTATGAGCTCTACTCAATGTATATCACTGCCGTGAACCTCCCACTGTCAGTACTGATCTGTATTGTATTGCTTCTGCAACACCTCACCTACCACCTACAACATTGCCATTATAATTAAAGAAATTTAAAGCTAGGGCTCATTTTGCAAATCCTTGCCATTCAGGTTTTGGTTTTGCAAACCAGACCTTTATTGACTCCAATTTGTATTCCAGGCAATAGCAATATGCAATATCATCTGCGTTCACTGTTAGGATTAGAATTAGGGCAATCCTCACTATCAATACAGGCTTGGGGATGCAAAGCACACACTGCTTGTTTCTCATGCTTTCTCAAACCTCCTTCTAATTCAAGCTGTGATCATAGTGTGGTTGGGTTCAAGCTTCGATTTCAGACTTCATCTTATTGTGTGCCAGTAGCCCTCAAGTAACAAAATAGTGTCTGCAAGGAACACTAGGGCAGCTGACCATGCTGGAAACCCCAGTTGTCCACGAGTGTTGTAACTAGATTGAAGAATAACTAGGCCCAAAATGCAAAAAACTAGAACTAACCGTAGTAACACATCCTGAGACCTGCTAGGCTTACAAGTTAAGATATAGATTCCCACATACATCTCCAGTAAGAAACTCAACTCTGAATCACTATGTGGTTTGGCATTTCATGAAGCTTGGCTACTAAGCAGTAGCTGTGTGTACAGCCAGCACATATTCTTGTGTATCTCAGGATCTATAAATGCAAAAAGTAGCCATCCTCAAAGACCTTCCTGCAGAGTCAACTCACATCTACAGGAAGTTCTGCAGAACCAATTTTCTTAATCAGGTTACCTGGTTTGTCAGAGCCCAGAGCCAGAGACAACTCAGCTCAATGTACATCCAATGTGGTACAATGAGTGCAGAGACACTCTTGAAGTTTTGCCAGAGCTGGCTCAGGTCTAGGAGAACCCAAGCAGGCTCTGTGCAAAATCAAGGCACCACTGCTCTTTACTGTTCATATTAACCAAGTTTTTCCAGAAGCCCCATGATCCTTGCTCATTATCTCTCTGGCTATTGGAGAGTTATCTGCCTGCATGATACTTTTCACATTCTGTTTCTAAGTGAATGCCTTTCTTAATTTGGATATTTAACAAGAAAAAAGAATTAAAACACTACCTCACTGTAAGTAGCTGAAACTATACAGTTGTGCTGTTGCTGAAACTATACAGCTGCTTTTTTTTTTTAATGAGTTTTCCTCCATGATGAAGGTAAGATCATCTTCCTGACTCATCATTCTTGTTCAAGACATTCTAGCCAAGCTTCTGCTTTCCTCCATTCAACTGCCCTTTGCCCATCACAGTGAATACAGATATTTTTGTTCCCATTAACTGTAATTCACTTTGCCTATATTATTACGACATCAATTTGTGCAGCACAAGTGAGGTGAGATATTCACTTCTCCAATTTTTTTCCTGTTTTCTGCTTACAGCCTTATTAATAGGGAAAATGCTGTGTCAGAATCCACAGGCCGCTCTCTTTTCTTCCCCACAGATTATCTTGTAGGAGTTCCTTCTGTCTTGGTACCTGCAATGCACAGCCAGGCAACCAAAAACTAGAGAGCTGGCAAGTTGAGATGATTCATTACTGTTCGAAGTCATTTGTTATATCAGTCTCTTAACATCACTCTTGTGTTTGTTGCCTTTTGCATTTTGTCATATCCTCCATTGTGTGGGAAACTTACTGCTTTTGTTGGATAGTTGGAGCACCTTATTTGTTTGGAGACTCCAGACACTACAATTAGATAAGTAACATGCAATAAAGGACGCTCTCTAATGTTGCCTTATCATTTATGTTTGACTGTTGAGAGGGATAAAGGAGGAGAGTTATCATCAGCTGTGAAGAGTGGCAAAGCTTTTACCTTCCAAAGTTGAAAAAGATGGAGAACATTTTTGTTTGTCTATGCATATAAAATCATAATTAAGGATTTTGCACACATAAATAGGCACTCAAGGAAAAAAATTAATAATTTTTTTGTCATCAGTTTTTGCTTTCCAGAGAGAACTCAAGAATGCCTAATATGTTTGCCTCATATTTCCTATAAAAAGGAGGTAACTTTTTCTTCATTGCAGGGGGGGGAAAAGAGAAAAAAACCCACTATTCAGGATAAACTGTGTCAAAAGTTGATGTTATGGAAATAGGAAACCTTTTCCTAAAACAACTGCTTTGCTCCCTTAACAGCAACAGTAGTTGTTAGCATTACTTACTAGTGGTTTGCATTCTTGTTTTTTCTTGCATTATCCCACATGCACGAGATACAAATGGAAAACCTTCATTAGAACTTAATGTCATGTAGCTTAATGACACATTTCCAGCCTGTTCCTTTGCATGTTTTATGTCCTTAGAATTAATAACTTTCACAATTTAATGAGATTTAAGATTTCTTGTGCTTTTATCTGCAGGTACCCTAGATAAACATGTAGAACTAGAGAAACTTGTGGCCAAGTTCCTTGGTGTGGAAGATGCTATGGTGTTCGGCATGGGCTTTGCAACTAACTCAATGAATATTCCAGCCCTTGTTGGGAAGGTGAGTACCTCCTTAAGGAACACAAAGAACAATTATTAATTGTTTTAACTGTAAGTTAAATACTGTTACAGTATTCTGGGCATGCATTAAGTGGAAAGGCTTGATCGAGGAACAAATCTTTATATCAGCAATGCATGAGTCATAAGGCTGAGAACCTTGTGACCTTAAATATGCTCCTTCATCATTTTTTCTAGCACTGGGTGTTGTTATCACACATGCCTAACATCCTATTTAAGGATGAGCAATACGGTTATTTAGCTTCTCTTAGCAAAGTTGTTTCTCCTTAAAAAGTAAGCAAATGCTGCATCCACTTGCAGAGATATTGCCCAGCTGCCTGTGGTGAAAGATGATGATTGGGATATTTTTTACAACAATTTCAGAAAACAGAAAGCATAGCATTTACCATTTATAGAATCATAGAATGGTTTAGGTTGGACTTTTAGGATCTCTGAGTCCAACCAATGATCCAACCCTACTAAGTCCACCACTAGACCATGTCCCTAAGCACATCTACTCATCTGTTAAACACCTCCAGGGATGGTGACTCAATCACCTCACTAGGCAGCTTGACAACCCTTTCAGTGAATTCCTCCTAATACACAACCTTAACCTCCCTTGGCACAACTTGTTCCTGATGAACAGATCTCCAGTCAGTCCTACAAAGAAAACTGACATGAAATGCAAGTCTAAAGTTGTGACCATATGACAGAAGTTGGGTTCTTATTTGGTGTTGAAGGGATTTAATCTCCAATTGGGGGTACCTAACACAAAGGCATGAAAATCCATTATCTTCTCAATCAAAATTCCTGACACAACAAGCAGATACACTGTACTGTCAGCTAGGAAAGTGGGTATCTCCTATTTAGTTCATGTGTAAAACAGTGTTTCCCTTTTCGTGGAGACAGAATGAGCTCACTATGTGGTGTAGAATCAAGATTATTTTCTGATGCATCAGTATAGATGCGAAGTCACTTTTTCACTCACAATTGAAGGGAATTCAGCTTTTGCAAGACATATCTAAAATACCTGTATACAAGGGTTGCGTAGGGAGTATTGCTTCAGCTGCTCAGAACTTGAACTGCAATCGGCAGTAGTGCTGGAGAAGTTGTCCAACAGTTTCAGTGGGAACAGATACAGAGAACTGATAAAGGAAAATTGATGATTTTGCAAACATACATAACAGCATTCTCCCACTTAATAAAATAATAAATAAAATATTTAAAAAATATATATATTTTCCCTCACTCAGCTCGCCTCATGTGGAGACTCAGGCCTCTGTCCAAGGTGGGATATTTAGATATAAGTGGCACAAATAAAGATATTACTATATTTATTATATAGAATAAAATTATAACAATTTATTTTTTTTAGTGTATACTAATATTACATAGTATAATAATATATTATATATTTTACAGATGTTATGTAATTGCCCTATGTTGAGGAGATTTATTGCTAAACTTTCCTCCATAGTTAAGACTAGCAGCTACATTTTCTTGTCCAGATGCATATGCTCTTACTGTTAGTTCTGTATACCAGTTCTGTATACGCAGCACAAGAAGTGTAATAGAAAGCAGAGCTAAATTAGAGTTCCAGGTTGAATTTCAACTGTGCATCCTGGCTCCTGTTAATATAATGTACAAAGTTATTTCTCTTACATTTCTATTTTACTTTCTAAAAAGAAAATGAGTTTTCAACTGAGTTAAATTATGAGAAATATACTACAGGTGAACTGTATACCCATTTACCAGAGAAAGACTCTGCCTGGTGCTTATGTTCCACTCCCATCTTAATGGAAGTGGGATTTATGAAGCATTGATCTGTCCTGATCTCTTCACTGCAGCCCATAGTGCTGTTGTCAGTCCAGCCTGAGTATTACTCATCCTTACATTACTGTTATGCAGTCTTTATATATAGGGTGGTGACGGGATTTTCTTTGCAACAGAAAATAGGCTGTATATAGGCGATGGAGGAAGCGACATCGCTTAATTTTACTACAAAGCAGCCAGTCTCTACTAGGGTTATTCAATACTTTCCAGTTACAGGAAATATTTGGCCCTTTTGCACCACCTGGAAATGCCTGAGAATCTGATCCCACAGTTTCTGCCTGCCTTTGCAGTGGGTCCTGGCACTTTCAGAAAAGTGGGAGAAAACCCAGTTCATGTTTAATACTTACTGCTTAATTTGGTGCAATGCTATATCATAGACATATGTGTATGCTGACACACACATGCACACATGTCAATGGCCTTCCACTTTATGCATATGCTTATTGTACTCCTTCTCCACAGGGGTGCCTCATTTTAAGTGATGAGCTGAACCATACTTCTCTCGTTCTTGGTGCAAGACTTTCAGGTGCTACTATTAGAATCTTCAAGCATAATAGTGAGTATTGAAGTTGTGAGTATTTCAAGGCAGAATTGTTAATACCTCAAAGACAAGAATGCATCCTTTCAATGCTTGCTATGCTGCTAGTTCCCAGATAATACTTTTGTCCAGGCAGAAGGATTAACTATTCAATATTATGAGTGATTTCTGATACGCAGAAATTAGTAGTGTAATATTATAATTGCTGTTGTGCATTATTTGGGTCATCAGGTTGGACCTTAATTTCAAAATCCAGAGTCTTAATCTCATTGCTGTCTTTTTGACATGCTGAATGACTGTGTGATGTCATAAAGGTTTTATTGTTATTGTCCCTCCAGCCAAAATAATACAAACATAATTACAAAAACATGCTCCATATTTCCTGCCTCTGTTCCTAGCAGGAACAGTGCAATGAGGTTACATTAATGTGACATTACTATGAAACAGTTACCCTGAATTCCCAGGGGGCTATACGAAAGATGCAGATGGTTATACCAAGAGCATCATTCCAAATATTCTTTGAATTATAAATTTAGTGTAGAAATCACACATTAGCTTTGCAAACATATAATTATCTTCTAAATTACTTATGGTTTTTAACTTTTATTTAGTTAATGCTGCTGTGGTCACTGTCAGAGACATTGTGATTGGCTTTGATGACAAAAGCTTATTCTTTTCCCTTCCTCCCCATTGCAGTTCCCCTTTTTATTTCCATTGCTGCTGCCAGGCAGTGATTGCAAAACAGGTAAAGCAGCTAGAGAAGTGGTGAGGAATGAGAAAAGAGGTCAGATTACCTTTGTTAATGGCTAATAGAGTTCCTTCTCCTTATTAAGTGTTGTGTTCAGCCCTGAGGTGAGCAAAAATGTATTATGCATATGCTGTAAGAAGCCTAAGGATCTGTTGGAATGAAAAGCACACTATAATTATAATGTAAGGTGTTGTTATAATTAATATCTATTCATAATTTGGGCAAGAAGCAATTTCTGAATGTCATTCAATAATTAAAGATCATCTAAACCCGAATATTTTTACAGAAGTAATTATTCCAAGATTAGCCTGCAGCATACCCCAGCCTGCTTAACTTCCACAAATTTGGATGTGCTAGGTATGGTTGCTATACCAGCCTTTTCTCAACTCTTCCTGAGTGCCTTACCTCATTCAAACATGTTTGCATCACGTCTTGTGGGATGACCTCTCACTACCCAAAACTTCTCAGCCTTCTCCACCCATCTATGCTGTGTGCAGCCCAGCTGGCTTGTGTCACTTCCCACAGCTTTTCAAAGAACATTCCAGTTTGAGGAGTGTATTAGTGTCTACTGCTAGGGAAGCAGAGAAGGCATTGCTTTGAGTTGTCATCCTTGCTTTAAGGAATTCGATCTCTAACCATTCCCCAAGATTTCATTCCGCTCCCTAGAAACTGATATCTAACCAGCCTCTGCTTGCCATTATGAGAAGTTAAAACTGATATTCTTTTGGGAGTAATGTATGAACCTAAAAATAATAGTGGCTTGTCCAAAAAACACTAACCCAGCTCTGGAAAATGTAGACAATCCTTTTACAGGTCTCAGCAAACATCAGAAGTCGTCCATCCAGTTTGCTTTGGGAAAACTCATTGCTTTCTAGACTAGAGATTGTATTTGCCAAGGTCAGTCTTGTATGCCATTTTTGAGACATCACTTTAAGTTATTTTCAAAATGAAACTGCAAAAACCTATGTAAATACACTTTTGAATTTGAACATTGGCCTTTGTCATCACAGTTTTGTAGGTCTTGAGTCTTAACCTAAATTGCATTTAGTGAGCACTTTAGGTGAAGCAGCTTCACACATTCATGTGTGCTCTTTCAGTCCACTACAAATCTCTCAGTATGTTATTTCCATGGTTAGAAAGTTCCTTCTTTTGAATATTTCCTTAATTATACCCATAAGTTACACATCACCAACAGCTTTTAAAATCACATGTGCAGAAATGTAAGTATGTGCCTTTTGCTTTAAAGAAAATAAGATGTATATTGGGGAAGGATAGCAGTCAAAAGCGTGATCCAGCAGGACTGCCTTTGTAGGATGCACAATTTTACCCAAAATGAAGTAGATAGCCTTGTTCTCTGTGGATCTGTCAGGAACTAGCATAATACAAGTCAGTACAGCAAATTAATTAAGGACACACATAACCAAAACGTCTAGCTTGTTTTGGGAGGGTTCTTTTCAGCTAGGCAGACATTAGTTATTGTTAAATCAGAGCTGTGTTGCTTATGCTCTCAGATTATTCCCCTTGTTAATGTGTGGATATATAGCATATATACAGGCATGCACATGAGTGCCCAAATTGTCAGAGTAGGTTAGTGTTGTCATTTTCATGCTTATGAAAAGGGGAATTAAGCCATTACCCATGTCATACTGCTTGGTGCAAAAGTAAGGTGTGTTGTGCTGCATTGGCCATGTGGATGAATAGAAAACTTTGCCCCTTGAGTTACCATTTGGAGATCTTTATTAAGCATTAATTTCAGCATCAGGTGGTAATGCATTTCATCTTACTTTTAAAAATCCTCCTCTGTATTCTAGTCAAAAAAGGCAATAACATCTGTCTCTTATTTCCAAGGACAGGAGAATGATGAATGTTATTTCATGTAAACCAATGACCATTTGAAGAGCTTGGCCCTAGGCATCAACTGGAGGATGTTACTGTGTCAAAGGCTTGGCTAGGACCCTGTAATGAGCAGTTGGAGCAATTCTCCAACAAGATGCAAGAATAAAGAACAAATCTGAGTCCTATCCTAAAGAGGATTAGGACTTAACATGAATTTCATTATTTCTTCTACATACGGAGCCAAGTTGTGTGCTGTCATGAGTTGGCTCATCTCCTTTGGAGCTGTGCTACATCACACACAAACACACTGTTTGACTCAGTATTGCCCTACACTAAAGACAATAAAAGAGATACCAAGAGGTATCACCACTAGTGCCCGAGACATGCTTTCTGTACAGGAGAATCAAAAATAAATTAAAATCAGACAGCAGATTTTGAAGTTACCTTTTTGCTATTAGAATGCAGCTTGAGAAAGCAGACTTTTTTCCATGTTCCTTGTTGCTGACATCAGTCTCTTTTGAAATACTGTGTAATACTTTGATAAAACTGCCTAGAACATATTTACCTTGGCTCTGACTTCCTTGGTTGCACATGTGTAGAAGAGACACTGGGAGAGGGGTGAGGTATGAATGTTTGTTGCAGTTACTATAAATGGTCATCAAAAAGAGGAGGAATAATTATGTAACAATTTAGTGAATCAATGGTATATTTTCTGAACCAGCTACTTCCTGAATATTATACAAAAAACATGCACAGGTGTGTGCTAGTAACCTTCCTTGCTAACAAGCTTGGCACTGAATCTCTCTCCCCTCCCTTTTTTCCTCTTGTTAGGGATAAACTATTTTTAAAGGAAAAATTATAGGAAACTTTGTTCTGTGATAAAAACGTTTCACAGAAAAAAGAGTAAAACCTGCCATTTTAAACTTGCTACTGAAGCACATTTATCTTTCGAAGGCTATGCTGGAGCTAATCCTGTAAAACTGTGGTATTTTGTTTCAAAGCATACAATCAGTAATACTGGATCTATTTGTCATTACACAAAAGTAAATAATTATGCTTATTTAATCAGTAAGCCAAGAAGTAATCTCTACCTATTAACTTAATTATCAATAATATAATTCTTATTCTTACAGAAGTTAATGAAATTCAGTTTCAATGAGTGGGTAGCTGTCCTAGGCATTACACTTTTCACAAAAAAAAAAATCTGAATAATTTTTCCAGAACTTTCTAGAACTTTCCAGAAAATGCATCTGGATGTTTCTCCTTTTTGACAAAAACATTGCATAGGTGTATAAGAAGGTTTTCAAGCAGTAAGGTGAATAATAGGAAAAAAATATGCTATGAACCTGTAAGTCCGCTTTTATTTGGACATAGGAATGTTCCGTACATCCTGCCTGCCAGTGAACAATCCCTTCCTTGTAAGTAGACAGGAATTTACAGGCCTGGGCTGAGAAAAATGCGCAGGTACACACCTACAGATCATCTATTGAGGAGAGTACTCTATTTCAGCCCTATAACTGAAAACTATTGAACAGGGCATTCTCTTCCTGCTTAGCAGTACTGCTAGTCTTCACCCTGCCAAGGTCACACCAGTATGCCACAGAGTATATGGCCTTTAAGGGAATTTTCTTTTTGAGGGACTTGTGGGTTTTTGTGGATGCTAGCAGCAAAGCTCAGTTCCAAGGAGCCCCTGCTCTGAATGATGGGTGTAAGGGCATTTTATTATTTAATTATTTTTATTTTTATTTTTTTTAGGATCTGAGCAGTCCTAAATTTATGTAGTAGTGTTTTTAGTGGGCTGAAATCACTCTAACCTGCCCTTTGTCTTCCCTGCTGTGGTGTGAGCACCATTTCCCAGATAGTGATGTGTTTCAGAAGCTAGAAAAGAGCTGCATTGCTACACTTGAAATGCAGCCAGCATCACATGGTCCAACAACTAGTATGTAGTGGGAGGCTAAAATATCTCTCCACCTCTGAGGCAGTCGTGGCCTGGTCTTGGTTAGTTTTGTGCCAGAAGGTGTCTGATGTCACCCTTACCAGGCCTGGACTCCAGGGAGCCTCTCCCACCCTCCCCAAGTGATCCACATGGAGGTCCTTCAGCTATATGGGGGCTATACTCTTGAATGTTTTTATTTCCTGTCCCAGGGAGAGACTGACTTATCACCTACTCTTTTTTATTTCTAAGACAATCTTTTATTAATATTATATATTTTAAAACATTTTTTCAGAACCTCTGACCTTTATCTTGGTTAAACATTAGCCAAAATCCCTTGATGGTTCCAATAAAACTTGAAAAGCAAAACCAAATAGCTAACCATTAGTCAACTTGTGATTTTATCAAGAGTTTTCTGTGACAGCAATTCTGGGTCTTATATTGGTATCAGGTGCAGCAGCTTTGGGTCTTATACTGGTGTCAGGTGAGAGCCTATCCTTGTACATTCAGTGGGCAGATGAGTGTGTTACTTGTGACAAGCGAAATGTGTTCATATTAGTCTGTATGAGGAGGTGCTATACAAGGCAAGTTTATTCTTTCTAGTTCTACTACATTTTTCCCATATGGCATTAAGCAACTAAATTGCAGTCACACTTTTAGGTTTAGATTTGCAATTGCATGAGTAGTCTGTGGGATTCTGTGACTATGCACAGACATTAGGACATGTGGAAGAAAAAGTTGCAGTTCTCTTCATTGCAAAGGCACTTCAGCACGCAAACAGAACAAGTGATACTATGAGGAGAGCAGGCAAATGAAAGGTAGAACCAGGTACCTTGGTTAGATGAAAATCAGGCCTCTAATCTGGTGCTTGAACCTACATCTGAAATGGGCATCACAGTAGCACATTGCTAGCTTCTCCTTACATACATTTTATAGTGCTCTGAAAGTATTAAGGGGTTTTTTTTGGTTCTCACAAATCAGGTGGTTGATGACAGAAGTGTGTCATGCAGCTGTTCAGGTTTCCATATAAAATTTATGGATATACAACTGGAACATCAGTTGGGAATTTATGTTAATCCAACTCTGGCATTTCTCAGTCTACTCAGTCAATTTAATGCTTTGGACTTCAGATATGTGTGCCATGAGGACAACTTAAAGAGAAAACACAGCTACCTGGAGGAGTTGTAGTTAACACTGAAAAAACTTTTAGACAGCAGAAGACCCTTACCTTTCAGTGCAAATTTATTCTCTGGGGAAAAGAAAAAGAAAAAAGAAAAAAAAAAAAGGAAGAGAAAAAAGAAGTGGAATAAGTGCATGGCTTGAAGCAAGCAAGAAAATAAAATGGGGGAAGGGGAACTAAAGAGATAAATGAACAGGTGAAATTTAGCAAAAAATGTGTTTGGTTGTAAAAAACCAAAATGTTTGCAGTGAGTTTACTGCAAGATGGTTCCTTAATCTGTATTTTTTTCCAAGGGTGTAAGTGGCTCTTGAATTTAAGAAGGGAGGGCAGTTTTTTAGCTAGTATAGAGCGGGATGAAAGGAACATTACCCACTCAAGTTTTGTACCCCTTGAAGCCTCTGGCCACTATTAGAGACAAGGTCATTGCACCAGATAGGTGGACCACAGCCTAATCCAGTTTGGCGTGCATTTCCCTGTGACACATACGGATGCTGCCACAGAGAAGAGACTGGTATATCCTGCTCCCAGCATGCTGTGTCTGCATTTGCACTCTCTGATTTGAGAAAGCCATGTGCCACATGTGCATAGGAAGCTTTCCTGAGCAAGTGCTCTTTACTTTCACAGAGATATGTATTTATTGAGGGGAATCTCAGAATGGTACTGTGGCTGCAGTAATCACCACTCCCACCACCTCATTTCAAACAAAGATATTCAAAGCTGTGATTTCAGGGAAATTACTCTAAGGATGCTTTTGCTGTTCAGAGCTGTGCCAGCAGTCAGGGGCTTTTCAAAGAGTAGTTTTCACTAGAATGAAAACCACCTTCTAGAGTCCTACAGTTACTGTTTAGATCAACAAACTCCTTGTGGTGGTGTCCTTTTGTTGCTTTAGGGATCTGCAAGGAGGGACAGCATTGGAGCTGCTCGAGTCACCCGCAAAAGGATGGTGACCAGGAAAGATGCCAGCAGTGTGAGAGCAAGAGAGGAAGAGGTGGATGCTGCAGCAGAGGCACTGCAGTAGGGTTACATGGTTACATGGAGGCTGAGAAGGGATAAGTAGCCCCAGAGCCTGCATGAACTTGCATGAGAGTGAAATATGGGAGAAACTGAAAATGACAGTGGCAAACACAAGGCAGAGGAAAGAAGAATGTGATAAGGGTAGTAGTACCCTGTTTAATTAAAAATGATTCAGCTGACATCACTCAGGAGATTTCCAGCCCACACAGAGGAATGGTGATGACATCCTCAGCATTGCAATGTAAGGATGAGGGGTGGAGCCGTGTCTCCCTGCAAGGAGCACTGATTGTGCCTGGGAGAGGACAGGGGCTCCTCCAGGAGCCTGTAGCCCCAGCTGCACAGCCACATGGCTGCCCATCCAGGTCCAGGCTGGCTTCGGCCCACTATCAGTTTGCATTGTTGATATTTCTATTATAGTAACTCTGAGGGATCCCAAACAAGGATTATACAAGTCTATATTAAATTCTAAAAAGCCTAAGCAATCCACTGTCCCCAGTTAAGAAACTTTATCCTCCTTATCTAGACAATATGCCACAGGGAGAAGGTGGAAACTGAGACAAGGATAGATTTGGTTGTGCTTTGACTAATTAATCAAGTGAAATTCTTAACACCACCTCCTGGATTAGTGATCAGTTGTTAGCCATTACCGCTGAAAAGCCTGGGCTGGTGATGGTCAAACAAGAAAGGACAGTTATTTTCCCCATAACTGGTTATTCAAGATGGACTTGTGCAACTCATCATCTAAATGTCCTAGTGTTTCACAGTCTAACTATATTTAATAGGTAAATAATTTGATATCCAAAAATCACTTGGGTTGTACTGTTTTTCCTGGCATTCAGTATATCTCATCTTCTGGAAAGTCTAAGAACAAGCACATAGAGGGCACTGCATCTTCACTTTGAATAACAGAAGCAGACTTGTGGAGGGAATATTAAAGGTAACAGATTTTCTCTTCCTCCCAGTTTGTAGTGCCAATGAGGCACTACAAGCACAGAGTAAAAAGGTCAGTAGAATTCACTCACACTCAAACAAATTATATGTTGACTGTTACAGGCCTAACAAAGAGTCACATGTACGTGTTTTTCAGAATGAGATATCAAAACCAAAGTGACATAGTCCTGATCCTACAAACAGACATGTCCCTACCCTATGACGAGTAAAGTCAGGAAAGTTCATCCCTCAGAAAGATTCTTCCCTATCTGCAGTCCATGTAGTTTGGACAAAAGAGCTTTTCACATTCACGTATTTTGTAAACAGTTCTATTAAACAAAATTATATACATTTCACTTCTCTCTAGCCTCTTCTCTTTGTTTCCTTTCATATGTAAGTATGTTAAAACAACTGAATCTTCAAGCCATGCTTTTAGCTCAGAGGGCTGGGCAAATTGTCCTGAAGTTCAGAACCAATCTGGACTGACATGTAGACAGAATACTGAATTGAAAGATCTTGAGTGATTCAGGGGAGGGTTTCAAAGGCCATAAAAGGATTTAGATGACAATTGCTAGAGAATAATTCAGTGGAGAAAAGGGGCACCCAGATTTAACTTTGAGTGACTGAGTGTGCTTTCTGTCATCTTGGGGAGTCCTTTAATACTCAGAACTCAAAAGGATTTCTGAATATTATCCACTCAAAACAAAAGAGAAGGGGAATAGCTCTCTTCTACGAAATATGAACGTACTGCAAACCTAGGTTATAAATTCCCCTTTTAAAGCAACAAGGAATTTTTATTTCCTTGTTTGCCATCTAGTGGAAACTGTGTTGTCTGCATATTCATAATAGCGTTTCCATCTCGAACCTCATTGAGCTGTGCAGATGATTGCACCATTGAAACAAGGAGTAACCTATCGTGCATGTGTTGTGCTTTGCAAGTTATAACAAGGTCTTGCTAGGTCAAGAGATCACGTGGTAATGTGTAGAGTGGGACAGGTGTTTCTGAGAAATTAATCTTTCACTGAGATCAGTAAACGGCACTAGCAAGAGATAAAGTACCAGAGTTGAAGGATTCATGTCATAACTTGAACATCTCTCAGGTCACAGGTTATTAATGATGGACAGTTACTGTGCAAATGGCCCAGATCCAGTCAGGTGGAAACCAAGTTATACGTCAATGTTAATGTAGCTAAGGTGAATTTTCTTCAGTTGAGACAATTGCATTTTAAAGATTAGCCTTGTACTATTTTAGAAGGTTATAAAACTGCATTAAGATGTGTTGCTGAAAAAGTGGAGTTATATAGTGAAAAACCACTATTGATTTTCTCAACTCATAATTTGAGCTGCTTTGTAGTGTTCCTTGTGGTATTACAAGTCTCTGTAAAATATTCTCTGAAAACATTTTGAAATGTCAATCCAGATTCTTGAAAAGTACCAGAATAATTTGGTTTGGAGAGTATTAATTCATGTGCAGACACCAGAATGCTGTTTAGATTTAAACTCTGCATTGAGAGTTACATTTAGTCTGACCCCTTATTCCTGTGATGTTTTTTCTTGCTTATTCTGTGTTTTTCAAAACTTCAGAGGCTTTTCTTCAAGATTATCTACACTCAGCCCTCAAGAAAGCAGCTAAGTTTCTAACATTGTTCCAGGCTTCCTTATATCAAAGTCCCACCAGTGCCAAGTGTTTTGGCACTGAATTAGTGTATCTATGCCATGTGCTTGAATCTATTTGTCTCTCCCTCTCTCATCAGCAATCTTTCACTCACTGTCCTTCTTGAGAAGTACAAGATTTCTCCTGCTGTCATCTTGACATGCTTTATGCAGCCTGATCCAAACCTTTGCTGAAGCAGTGCATGTTATTTGTGAGCTTGTGGAATGAGCTTTTGATGTTGAAAAGGAATGAAAACTCACCATTTGGAAGCCAGGAGACATGAATATCACCAACCCATACAGAGAACACTGGCAATTAGCCGCAGTACTTCAGCAACGTGGTTTCCTTCTGCCTTTACATAAAAATGTATGCCAAGAATTCGTAAAAGTTTCCCAGATAAGGTGCATAACTGGAAGCTTTTTGTAACTCTCCTTGTCACTGGGTTGCATTCAGGCAAATTAGATCAATGGTTGGGTCTTGCCTACTAAAAAAGTAAGTCTATCTTTAGAACACATTTCTGAATGTTGTCTTTTTCTGTATAGGAAAAAATAGTGTCCAGTAGAAAAAGGAAAGTTCTTTAAAAAAATCTTTGCTAATGCTTTATTTCCTCCTTTTTCTTCTTTTTAAATAAAGATATGCAGAGCCTTGAGACGTTGCTGAGGGATGCAATAATATATGGGCAGCCTCGAAGCCACAGAGCATGGAGAAAAATTATCATCCTCGTGGAGGGCATTTACAGGTATGTTTGTGTTTTAGAAACATGAGTACTCTTTATAATTTCTGAGGACAGAATGATATATTGAGTGAAGCGAACATTGACTCTAGATATCTGAGAGAAATCTTAATGAGAATGGAGGTTACAGTAGCATGAAAATTACATTGATTTTCATTACGTCAGTCTAAGGCCTGGTGGAATTTGCTGCAGTTAGATCCTATGTGTTGTTCTAAATGTTGATTTAGGAAATCACAGTTGAATGGGAGATGTACTGTGAGAAAGGCTATCAGATGGTGTAGCAGGTTAGGAGTTTTGCTAAATGAGTAAGCTAGAGTTGGCTAGAGTTGTTTGTACAGGCAGATCAAGAGACAACTATGCAGAACTAATTAAGTTCTGCATGCCCAGTTCTTACCCAGCTGTTGAAATCTAAAAACTCAAGCTAAACATAGGCCAAGTGGTATCGGCACCTTTCTTGTAAATAGTGCTGAATCTAATGGACTCACATTTTAACATGAAAAACATAAAAGACTGGCTTTCAAAGAAAAGTGGCATATAGTGGCAGCTCATGTAGCCCCAGTCCCTGGAGGAATTTGAATGAGAGAAGTGCCTTTGAATATATATCAGGTAATATCAGCATCAGTAATACCACATAATTATAGAGCATCATAGTCAGATAGCTCCAGCTCACTAGTATGGTGCATCTTACACCCAACCAGAAAGACAAACCACCACTAGAGCTGAGCAGCAAGGCAGAGGCACCAGGCAGGCTCACCATCCTGGGCTTTGTCCTGGCAACTGCTCATGTTAGGAGAACTTTGCTGGGGAGGGAGCCATGAGGCTGGTGGACAGCATGGAGGGGGAGCCACTGGTTGTCAAGGAGCTGGAGCAGGGAGTGGTAAAGGTTATGAAGAGGAGGGAAGGGCTGAAGAAGCAGCAATCTAGACAGTAAGAGGGTTTGCAGAGATCTAGGCAAGGATACTGTGGTGATGACAAGAGGCAGAGGGGAGTAGGAGAAGGATAATTTTGGGATTAGTGACACCTGCACCAGAGAGCACCAGAACCACTTTTTCACAGCATGTGGCATGGTTTATGAAAGCAAAATTGAACTTTATAGGTAGGGATCCTATCATGTGTGCTGAAATACAGCTGGTCTGGATGGGCGATACCATCTTACTGTGAAATGTTAGCACAGTTGAGCCAATTAGCTTTTTTCATAGGGAATCTTTTACGACCTCATATCATCACAACTTCATAGCTGTCAGTACTTTCTTTTTACCTAACATTTTCCATCTGTACAGAGAACAAACCAGTCCTTATCTAAACACCTGTCACTCAGAGCTGAAACAGGTCACCAGCAGATCAGCTTATTCAAAGCAGACTGAATGTCTCCTTTCAACCAGAAAAAACAGACCAAAACTGCAAATAAACATAGCTTGGCACTACTAAAAGAAAGCTCAGGTTTAAGAACTTTGATCATGCAGGAATTAAGTGGACCACCACATTTTACTGACAAATATTCCCATCAGTCACACAGCCTGTAGAAAATGCTCCAGCTGCTGAACTTTGTTCACTTTTAGATCCTTTACCCTGGACGTTGACCACTAGGGAGCAAGAAGGTAGAGTGGTGACACAGAAGCATAGATTGGTCTGAGCAGTGGGGCAAACCCACAGTCAGATATTCGCAACTATAGTAACTGTATTTTCAGATATATATTTGATACAGAGTTTTCTTTTCCTGTAGTTTTGCAGTTCGTTTTCAAAAGAGATTTTGTTCTCAAAAGTTTGAAGAACCTTCTAGTGGAATGCAAAATAAAAACATGTTAAACGTCAGAGAACCTCACTAAAAAGGCACCAAAAAGTTCCTTCAGCCCCATAAGGGCTAAATAATGTTAAGACCTCTCATGCACTGAGTGTCTATGCTTGTGAAAGGCATAAAGTAAAAGAAAAAACAAAGCTCATCTCTCTTATAATCTCTCATTGGAAACCTAGCAGTAGCTAGGTTGATTGGTTTGTTGTTTTCATAGTCTAAGCAGATCAGAATTTGAAGATTGTGGTTTTGTTGCAAAGCAAGTCTGCTCAGACTTGAGAGAGAACACCACCACACCACACCATATTGTGTCCCTGCCATCACTACTAGCCTGAGCTGCACACCGCTTATCTGTCCTTACAGCACTGTTGGGAACACTCACAGATCATGTAGTCTAATCTAGTACATAGTTAATAACATTTTGTATGCAAAGGAAAAGCTGAAGAAAGACATAGTAGAAATACTCTTACTTTTTTTTTTTTGTGCATGAGCTTTCCTTACTTGGCCCGTGATTTTTTGTAAGAGATTAAAATTTTTCAGCCCCATATTGGCTAATGTTAGTTTTCTAAGATTTGCCAAATGCCAAATTAACATTAATCTAGAGATTTTAAGAGGAGGTGGAGTGTTGTTAATGTATTCTTACAATAGTTAATACTGCCTTTTGTTGTTGTCGTTGTTCCCTTAAAGGACTTAAGTTATACTACAGGGACAACTAATACAGAATTTAATTAACTTGGTCAGAGCCATTCTCCAAATTAAAATATCTTGACTTGCAAGTTTGGCTTGGAAAATTTTTATAGAAATGCTTTTTCCAGAGATGCAAAAGAAATACAAATCTTTTCTTCTTTAAAAACATATTGTTATATAGTGTTAGCTATAGTGTTAGTATGGTGAACTTAATGGTATGGAAAAAAATTGCCTTCTATTTCCATTAGGAGTGTGTTAAACTGTTTACACTGGGCATAAGCCTGGACTTACCAGATGGCAAAATTTGAAAAGGGTCACTGTTAGCCAGCATGAGTATTTGTGGAAATCAGACTTGTATTTGAAACCATAAGGCACAGATTTTTCTTGGTTACAACTAAAGGCAGAATTGACCCCTTGACTTGGGAGCCACTCAAGTTATGTGTCAAGTAAATAGCAATAAGTATATATTTGTTTGCTTTTTACTGTCTCTATTATCTTAAAAAGAAAAAAAATCATCAGAAGTAAATGTAACTATGAGTGAAAGATGGTTCTTAACTTGGATTAGCCAAGGAGCAAATGTATATCATTTGCAATCCAAACTGAGAGAGTTCATCAGTCTTCAGTCCAAAAAACATGAACAAATTTGGCAGTGTCCAGAGCACAAGTTAAACTGACTTGCTAAATCGTATGTCTATTATATTAATTCTAGCTAATGTTTTTCTTGGCTTCTACCATTTCCAGATCAATCAGTTACCGTGTTCTTACTTGGTTTGTGGTAAACTTCTGCTCTCTTGCACACACATTTACCTAGGAGTCAAGTAGGCCAAGGCCCAGGGCAGGTGTTATGGGACACCAGAAACTGATCAAAACAGGTTGATTTTCACAGAATCACAGAATCACTGAATGTT